TCTCAAGGGGACGCCTTTGGGATATAATTACACATATAGAACCTAGGGACCCTTTTATCTGAAAAGATAAAAGTTATTTTTATTAACTTTTGACTGTAAGTCAGCGGGTAGGCTGTGTGTCATATATATATAAATAAAGGAAATTGACTGTAAGTCAGCAAGTAGGCTGTGTGTCAAACAATAGAATCAACTGTAAGTCAGTGAGGAGGCTGTGTGTTGAACCATAAATAACCTATTAATTAGAAAACTCGGATTGCACACTTGCATTACAAACAAATACTTTTTTTTAATTGTAGAAAAATAATTATATTTTTATTATTTTAGAAAATGTTCATTATATATTAATTAATATTACACAAATTGATAAAATATAAATAGATGAAAATATAATATAAATAAGTTAGTCTATTTATTATCAATCAATAATTGTTCAAATTGTTACAATTGTAATAAGTACAATAATAAACATAAAAACAATTTATATATGGATTAAAATCATATGGAACAGAATGTTCCAAATGTTCTGAATAATTGTCTGATTCATAGTTTTCTTTCATGACAATTCTATTTTTCTTAAGTTTTTCCTCTTTGCAAATGTTTGGTGATATACCAAGTTTTCTACACCTATAACATTTTGTCCTTTTCTGTAATAGCCTTTTTCTACTAGATGTTCTTTTATGCCACAATGTAGACCGAACCTGTTTGATTCATCAGGTTCTGGTTGATGATATTTTGTGAAATAGTTGGAGTTGGTCTTGAAGTTAATGAAAATTTGTTCTAATAATGTTTTTTTTGAATAAAATTTCTGAATAAATTTTTTTGAAATTCATTGTTTAAGAATTTAAAATTTATTTTAAGACAAGATTTTGTTTTTTAATAACTATTTATATCAGAATGTTATCAAGAATGGTTTAGATTATTAATGGAATCAATATTAAATTTAGTATATATTGAGGTTGTTTTTAATTTGTACAACAGAGATTGATTTCCTTTAATAGAAAATTCTCAACCTATTAAAGGAAAAAGTGGTTCCAGCTTAATACATTGAATAATCATTTAATGATTTTATTAAATGGACCTGATATTCATAATTTTGATTTTAAAATAGCATATGAACATTGGACAAATAAAAGTGAAAGAAACACTTGTTAAAAAAAATATTTATTGTTTTTATTTTTATATACTGTATATTAATAAAAAAATTTTTTTAGTGATCACAAAATCCGCGCATTTCTTATATAACACAAACCCCGCACTCAACTAAGGTTGCTTGCCAAAACTCATCCAGAAATCAATCAGCAGGGTTTCGGCAGGTTACACATTAGAGTTTTGGCAGAGTTTCGCATTTTGAGGTTTCGCCCTTTCGGCATAATTTCAACAGTATTTTTGATAAGATTTAATATAGTTTTACTGTGGTTTCAGCAATTACTAAGGAGGTTTCGCCCACAACCTTACACTCAACTGTCGTGTTACACGCGATTTTTTTATAACTATGGGTTATAATTTTAATACATATCCCTGTTTTTCATTTTATTGATTTAACTAATTATGTAAAAACTTGCAATAAAAAACATGATTTTTTTTCGGATTAATTTCATTATATATTAATAAAATACCAAAAATATACTTTTCAATTAAATATTATAATAATAAATACGGCCGGTCACTAAAAATTAATAAAAGAATCACGTAGATCGAAAAAAATTTTTTTTTTGAAATTTACCATTGGGTTTGAAACAATAGAATTTTACTGGCTCATTCGAAGCATTGCATGCACGACACAATTTTTTTTGCCGAAAAAAGGAGCCAATCTGCGAGAAAGATCACTCGCCTTTACCGGCTTTGGAAGGTGTTTATTTTTGAAAAAATAATTTCATAATACAAAAAAAATTTAGATATAATAATTATTAAAAGAAAAAAAGAAAAACAACAGATTAATTAATTAAATCAAGGAATTATATTATCATTATTATTGTCGTTATTATTATCAAATCTTATTTTTATTATAACTAACAAGGAAACAATTAGTAGATTGACAATTATTATTATAATTGCTGTCTCTGTGGTGGCTGTTGCAGCCGTTCCCATAGCAGTTGTTATAAGCTGAATTGCTGCAATCAAAATTTGATCTCTTGTTAAGTAGTTGTGGTCATTATTAAATTGATTATGACGGAGAAAATTAATATTCAGATTATGACCGAAGTGATTATTATAGCCAAGATGGTTCATTCTTTATTCTTTATTTTGTTGTTTTTGTAACGCACCCGTCAGATAAAAATGAAATGTATTTAATAGTGCAAAGAAAAGAAAGAGGAGAAAGAAATACGAAGAAATTACTTCAAGTATTTTTTAATAATTTTTTTTTAGTAATTTGTAAATGTATTTCGACAGTAAGTAAAAAAAATCGCAAAGAAACAAAAAGGAGATTTATGAACAAACGTATGTATTTTTTTTTGATAGTAAGTAAAGAAGATCGAACTTGACTAATTGCCCAAGTATTTTGCATGCATTCTTTGATTTTTTTATTTTAATAAAAAGAACGTTTGAAGAAGTAAAAATATTGATTATACCTACCTCTTTTTTATACCTTTCAAATTTTTAACGGAAAAAACAACTCCAAAAATATATTAATATAGGTAGGAGGTGTGGATATTTAAGTGGAGAAATAAAAGGTAAACAATGGCATTAATTGACGGTTTGTCTAATGCCATGAATGAGTGAGTTCACGGTCGAGGTCATCTGTACGCAACCCATTAATTTAATAGCGGAATTTAATCAATCCCTTTAAAAAAATAATGTTGTATGTATGACAAAGTAAAATAACTTTTAAACTTTCTTATTCTGGCTTACATAATTTTTTGTGCTCCATTTATTTTTGATCTCGTTTTTAAAATTTTAGATTCATTAGTTTATCAATTACTCTGTTAAATAAAGCTAATTTTTTATAAAGCCAATTCACATCTGTTTTTTAAAACACTAAATTTTTTACCCCTCCGATGAAGTTTTCCACATGATCCGCCACATGTTTTCAATGGGCATAATAATTATCAGTTTTTTTAAAACCTAAAGATTATGCGTATAAATTTCATGCTTCTGTATTTTATCAACCAAAAAATTTTTAATATGGAACTTTTAATAATTGTTCTAAATAATAATATTTCGCAAAATTTTCTCATGTGACAATCTAAAATCTTCTGATATAAATGATTATTATTATTATTATGAGAATGATGATAATATCGATTATTTATACAGTAAAGATTTTTATTTTCAAAAAAATAACAATTGAATAATGACTATATCATTCATTGTATATCGGGGAAACAAAATAGATCGTTGGATTATTATCATCCCTATAATGAACCGTTCACGCTCACACTTACCTTCGCTTGCTCTCTTTTCTCTTTCTATTTCTCCTCTCTGTCTCTTTCTCCTTTTTTTACTCTATCGTTCAAAAGGTTAGAGAAGGATTTTTTAGTATGATCTGCTGAACGTATATCTCTCAAAGAATTCATTTCGTTTCTGTTGTTATAACGTTATGCTTCAATAAATAAACAAATAAATGTTAGCAAATGGACCTGATATAAGCCTTTTCCTTATACCATCAAAAGGTTCCCTTTTTGAAACTATTTAGAAAGGTATGAGAATATTATTATTAAAAGTTGCGTTACTTTCCTTCTTAAAAAGGTTACGAAATCAGGGAATCAAACATATGCTCTGTGTCGCACATGGTTTGCAAATGTCGATCATGCCAAAACTAATAATTTTAGAGACCAGGACAAATTTTCAGATTTTTATTTTCGTTAGTAATTAGTCACATCTAAAATATAAAAAATCGCCATTATTTAAATATATATATATGAGTACATTATATTATCACTATTGTTATTAATATAATTGTCATCGTTGTTATTATTATTATTATTATTATTATTATTATTATTATTTCGTTTATACAATAGCTAATTCAATTTATTCCATTAGAGCTTTGGTTTTTAATATTATGATCTAAAAAAAATTACATTTTCAAAATTAAATTAATTAATAATATTTATTTCTATATATATATTATATACATTAGATTGATTAATTTTAGAAAACTTACATTTCCATTATTTAATGATAAAGACAACAGACTTCCGGTAATATTCCATTTAATACAAAGAATTTTTTCATCAACTCCAAAAGCCTTCACAATCTCTCCAGACTTTTATTATTACCAATAAAATAATAGATAATATCATTAATAAATATATAATCAATCTATTTATCATTATCATATTATAATTAATAAGAGTAATGAAACCATACTTCAACATTATAAATAAATAATTTATTATCATTTGATCCAGCGGAAATAATTTGTCCATTAGGATGAAAATCAAATGAACTTATAAGTCCATTATTAGTTCTAAATATATGTAAACACTCATTCTTCATAGCATTCCAAATCTTTATTTTATGATCAGCGGAATATGTTGCAAGAATATGATTCATTTCATCTGATTGTTGTTGTATTGGACACCAACTAATACTTTCAACTTTTGCATCATGTTCAATGGTTTGAATTGGCTCTTTTTTATTTTCAACCCATAACTTAATTAATATATGTCGGTTGTCATTGGATAAATATTAGTTTTTATTGGTTCATTAATAAACACCAATATTCATTACTATTGTTCAGTAGTTACTTACCTTAACTGTACAATCATCAGAGCAAGATGCTAAATACTTTTTAGTGGGATTCCATGAAATTTCATTAACTTTATCTTCATGATAACCAACATAGTTCTTAAGTGGCTTAGATTGGTTGACATCACAAATAAATATTTTCGCGTCTTTTGACGAAGTAGCAAAAATTCCATCAGATTTCCAATCAATAGATGTCACTCGATCTTTTTAAAAAGAAATTAATTAAAAAAAAATTTAATATTAATTATTTATCAAAATGTCATGTATAAATAAATATCTATATAATGTATAAAAATTACCAAATTTTTATTTTACCATTATGCATTTCATATAACCTTACTGCATTTCCAAGTGGATCCCATAAGATAATATTTCCATCTTCACACCCAGTAAGTATATAATTTCCTTTGGGATTCCATTTCAATATTATAAAACATAAAGAATAAAATTCAAGGTTTGTTCTTAATAAACCTAAGGATTTTTAATATTAACAAGATTAATTAATGTCATTGATTATTATTAAAATGGTAAAGGAAACAAAAAAAAATTTCTTTTACCATGAATTGTAAATGTACTTGATAAACCATTAAAGTATGAAGTTGAAATAAGTTTTCCATTAGGCTAATACATAGTAATGATAATAGTTTTTATTAGTATTATTATTATTAATGGAATTACTATTACTGCAAGTTATTACTACAAATTATTACTAAGATAATAATTATTTTTGAAATAAATATTATTATTATTATTATTATTATTATTATTATTATTATTATTAAGATTCAATAATAATATTCACCCATTCAAACTCACATTCCAGTTCAGTGCACAAATATAATGTTCTGTAGGATTATCAAAGAAATTGTTTTCTATAGCTACTGGCTTAGAAAGTGTTTCTTGACTATCAGATATACTCCATATTTCTAATTTTCCATCTAAACCTCTATATATATATATATTTATAAGAAAATAATTTTTAATGATTTATTATTAACTAAAAGATTAATAAAGTATTTGTATAATCACCCTGATGCCAAAATATTTTCGTCTACTGGATTCCATGTACATAGTGAAACTGGCCCTTTATGGCCTTCCAATAATATTGAATCTTTTATAGGTATTTTTTGTATTTTTTTAGATGATTTTTGTTTCAATCTTTTATGTTCTGAAAAAAAAAAATTTTTTTTTATTTTTAAATTGTTATTATTATCTTAATTTTTTTTAAAAAAGAAAAAATTAAAAAAAATATCAAATACCAGGTTTTTCATTACTGACTTCTTGCGATCGATTCGGCGAAGTTGAATAATCTTTTGATACATCAATTTCCATTTCAATAACATTACTACTAATAATATTATTGTTAATACTATTATTAATATTATCATCATTATCATCATTATTATTATTTGGTTTATTATTTGGTTTATTATTTGATTTATTATGTACTAATATTTCCTCTGATGTATCTGATTCGATTTCATTTTCTTCACTATCTTCATGTTCCTCACCACCACTTATAAGCTCTCCTTCTTCCTCGGATGACTGATTATCACCAATCTCGCTTAAAGGTTCGCCATCATCATCATCTGTTACTTTTACTGCTTCAACATTATTAATTGGAGTTATTGATCTAACAGCAGCTATTGCAGTTGTTGAGCTTGATTTAATTGGATTTGGCATTGACGTTGATGAAGAGTTTGCTGTTGTTGATGTATTTGTAACAGTTGTGGTTGTTCTATTATCATCTCTGATATTATTGTTATTATTATCAGATTTGGACGGTATTATACATTGATGCGATCCGATTAATTGTAAAGGTGCAATACATTCTGCTGATGCACCGTCCTAATATTTATTTATACAAATTTTCCTTTATAATTTAATAAATTTTTATTATAAAAAATCAAAAATTCTTGACAATAAAAAAGTCAAGTAATAATATATACATTTTTTGAGTGTACTTGTAAATCACAATATTGTAAACCTCGATGTACAATGTTAACTAATGCTCCAGGTTCGACATCTTCATATTTGATTCCCGCTCTTTCTGGATGACTTTCAGCTTGAAAAGCAGAAGTTGAAAGCTCAAGTCCTATAATTAATTTTGATTAATTTAATATCATTTACGCCCAAACAGTTTTATTACAAAATAAACATGGTTAGTTATCTATCAAAATAGAACTGATGATGATGACGATGATGATTATTACCTGATTCACGAAAATAACGAAGTATAAGATAATTGATTTGTTCACTTGTAGGCTTTAAGCTCATAATTTTTATTTGGAAAAATATCACAAAAAAATATGCGGTGACACCACGAAAAATTCTTTTAAAAAATATAAATTGTAAATCTTATAAAAAAATATATTCTTTTCCACAACACAAAATAAATGCCTTCTCAAGGTCCAACGTTACCAAGCCGTCTCGAAAACAGTTTAATATATCTCGATGACTATTTAGACAGTATGTTTTTTGTTTTTTAAAAGTTCTCCAAGTTTGGTCTTTTTGGACTAAAACCCACTTTTTATATATATAGCACTAGAATCTCTTCCTTCAGAGTTACAACGTAATTTTACATTAATGCGTCAATTGGATGCTTCTTCAACTGGTAAATAATATACTCGTTTCATTCACCTCTTTAACTTTTCTCGGCCACTTTTTTCTAAATGCTAATTATAATAAAAATTTTTTTTCTTAAAGAATCAATGGACAACGTTTCAAAAAGAGCTTTCCATTTATTGGAACATTTAAATGATTTAAGCAAAGAAGAAAGAGCAGAAGAACTTAAAAAACTTGGAAAAACTTTAAATGATAATAATAAACACGGAGCAGAAAAAGTTTCACTTGCAAATTCAACTTACAATACAGTACGTTTTCTCACACCACTACTTGTGCGCTTTACTTACTATCATTATATATTAAATATCAAAAAATCAACTTCTTTGGTATTTTGTATGTATAGGTTGATCGCCATATTAGACGTCTTGACGACGATCTTCACAAGTTTGAAGATGAACAAATGACAGGCCCAGGTAGAATCAATAACAACAATTCAAATACGACAACCAACAACAATATACATCATCATACTCGTGAAGAATCATCGTCACCATCAACGACAAGAAAACATAAAGAAAAGGGTGAAAAAACTGAAAAAGCTGAAAAAAGTCATAGGAATGATAAAAAATCTCAAAATGGTAAATTTAAGTTTTGAAAATTGATTGATTGATTTATTTGTTTATCCATCATATTAATAATGGTTCTTTGATTTTTTTTTTAAATATACTAAAAAAAAAAAAACAGGAAGTGAACAATCAACTGGTAAAAGTAAGTAGTATATTATACTTTCTAAACAAAAAACAATTCAAGAATTATTACTGATTACTATTTAAACACATTTATAGAACGTAAAGTTAATAGTAATAACAGCAACAACAACAACAATAATAAAGAAACTGGTACATCACCACCAGCAGCAGTTTCACGAAATACAGGAGAAAAAGAACGCGAAAAACCTAATAAATCATCAAGAAAGAAAGATTCTAGTAAATCTAGTAAATCTAAAGCGTCTGAGAAAACGTAAGTTATTTTCAGTCAGATTAGCTGATCATTTTCCGACTAAAGCACAAATAATCAATCGTAAACGATTAAAAAACTAATATTATTATTATTATGTGTATGTAATACAAGTGATGATTCACAAGCCGCAGCAGATATGCCGATAGACCCAAATGAACCTATTTATTGTTATTGTCAACAAGTTAGTTGGGGTGAGATGGTCGCTTGCGATAATAATGAATGCGAAATAGAATGGTTTCATTATCCTTGCGTGTCTCTTAAAGCTCCACCAAAAGGTAAATGGTACTGTCCAGATTGTACAGAAAAACTCAAGATTCGTCATAAAAGATGATGATATTATAATAGAAGAAGAAAGGAAAACTTTCCTACATTATGACACAATGAAGAATAGAAGATATTAATTTTAATTAAGAGTAGACATAATAATAAATAATTTATCTTTTTTTTTTTAACTTTTTTTTTTGTTTTAAATTTTTCTTGCAGAGCTATGTAAAGAAATTCTTTTACAAATATATATATAAATAAAAATTTGTAAATTTATTAATATTTTTATATAAACATATAATTTTGTATCTATACAATTTAAATAAATCAGTTGTTCATTATAAGATCTGATAAATGTCTAGAAATGATTAAACGTTGAATCTGTGATGTTCCTTCATATATTTGAAATATTTTACAATCACGATATAATTTTTCTACGGGGTATTCTAAAATAACAGTAAATGTATCAGGTTAATTAAAATTCGTTTAAAAAAAAAAAAAAAAGACAAAATAAAATAATCACCAGTATTAAAACCATTTCCACCAAAAACTTGAACAGCCATACTTGCTGCATTAACGGCTACATCTGATGCCAACTAAATATTTCGATAAAAATTTAATAAATCAATCAATTGATCATGAAAATATTTTAATCTTTAAAATTTTATAATTATACATACTGCTTTGGCAATTGAGGCATAATATGTATTTTTTCCACCTTGATCATGAATCCAACTAGACTAAATTAAAAGGAAAAAATCAGTATACTTTTAAACTAAAATTTCTATTTTAAATATATAAAATATTATTTATACAAACAAACCTTCCAAACCATATTACGAGCAGCTTCTATCCCTATTGCAGTGTCAGCTAACATAAATGCCACAGCTTGATGTTCAATTCTATTTATATGTATACATTTATGCATGCGCGTATGTATTTTTAAGGACAGAAATAATATCAATAAATATATAATATGATTATGGTATTAGACATACATTAATTTATTCATAGTTTTTCTTTCATGAGCATATTTAGTTGCTTCCTCCAAAGCACGACGAGCTAATCCTACAGCTCCAGCTGCAATTAATGGCCTCGTGATATCAAATGCTGACATAGCAATCTTAAATCCTTCGCCTGGAGATCCGAGACTATTTTTAAACGTAAAAGTTGATTTTAATTTAGAAAATATGTCCATCTATAATTATATATATATATATATATATATAAACTCACACATTTTCTGAAGGCACAACAACTTCTTCAAAGGAAATTCCTCTAGTATCACTAGCACGTTGCCCTAAATTAATTTCTTTTCTACCAACCGTTATTCCAGGTGTATTAGCATCCACAATGAATCCAGTGAAAGCTTTTCCAGCTCTTTTCTCCGAAAACTCGGTACGTGCTAAAACAAAATACCAATTTGCTTTTCCACCGTTTGTTATCCACATTTTTTGTCCATTAATAACCCAATCATTCCCTTTCTTTATAGCCTTAGTTGCTATTCCTGCAACGTCTGAACCTGCACCGGGCTCTGTGACACAATAAGCAGCCATCAAAGGTTCTTCCGTCATTCTACCTAAATATTTTTTATTTTGATCTTTGTTTCCTGCAACGATCAGTGGCGCCTCGGCTAAATTATTGGCTTCAAGAGCTGTTTGGATACCTGTACAACCAACAGCTAACTCCTCGGTGATGAGACTGGAATTAAATACCCCGAGTTCAAGTCCACCAAATTCTTGTGGAATATGAGTATTTGCTAACCCAAGTTCCCAAGCTTTTTTGATTATATCCATGGGATATTCGCCAGTTTGGTCATGATGAGCTGCTTTTGGAATAATTTCTTCAGTAGCAAATTTTTTTGCTAGCTCTTGAAAATCTCGTTGTTCTTCCGATAATGAAAAACTCACACCTCCTCCGCCAGTGCTATTAGCAGAAGCTTCTGTAGCAATTGAGCGCGAAAAAAGCAGGCTAGAACGTGTTAAAGAAGATTTAAGATGGTGTGTAAATTTTAAAGAAAACATTTTTTTTTTTTTTTTTTAATGAATTCAAAAATAAATCTTTGTAATACTATATCTATCATGTTCGTGTTACTGCTTGCTGCATACTTGAAATCTTAAAATCTAATTTCTTTATAACCTAACTAGTGAATTGGTTGATTTAGTCTTGTCTGTTGGAATAAAAGAAACGAAGCCAGATGAATACTATTAATATTGATGAAATCAAATGGTGTCAATATATATATAGATAGATTTATGATTTTTATGTAACCTGAGGTTATAGGGGCGATGATTTTTTGTGATTCATAGTTTTTCACAATAATTAATCCACCTAATCACGAAATTTTCTATTTCAAGCAACATTAATGTGACATATTGCATGCATATTCTGCTAATACTAATATTTTTTTTTGTATACTTATTATTATTATTGTGTGTTTTCGCGTAATTGATACACTTGAGTTCTTGTAATTTATCATTTGATCTAATAAAATCTATTCGAATATACTAAAGCAAAGGATAAATTTATTTATTTGTCAAAAAAAGAAATTTAAAGTATATAAATATGGACTGAGATTGATGTATAAAAAAATATTATTCTTTAAAAACAATGCTGTTTAAATTGGCTGCTACTTGTGTGATTGATTTAATCATTAACACCAAAGGAACAAAATTAATTATTTCGCAATAAAAGCTATATGTTTGTTTATTTATTAATTTATGGGTTCTATTCGTAATACAAATTTTGTTTTATTATTATTTGCTTTATTTGTTTTATTTGTTTTATTTGTTTTATTTGTTTATTCGCTCAAATTATTTGATATTTTTTTTTACTCAAATTATTCGTTTTATTCGAATAGAAACCTTACCTACTTACTTTACTACTCAAGGTTATGATATTATTTTTAGTATTGCAATTAAGAAAGCTCCTCACAAAGAGCTTTATTATTTTACAATGTTTAGAAGGCTTTTTTTATATTTCTTTCTTGTAGTAATGGTAATATCAGTATTATTTAATTCCACCACCATCACTACCAAAAATTCGTTGTCCGTTGTAATTATTATATTAATAACGTTTTTTATATATTTATTATTCATTTTATCATGTATTTATTAACATTAGTTGTTAAATATTTGGTTAGCACTAGGCCAATATCGAAAAAAAGACGATAGCCACTGGATCCGTTGTCTTTAGTCGATAAAATTATCTTGAACACAAGAGTTACCTTTAGTTGATAAAGTTGTCTCAAAATCGTTTTACCCTGCAAAAAGTGTCCAAATCTACAAAATTAGTTTATAATTAATTAATCCGAATGTATATTAATATAATAATAAACAATTTGAATCTCATGTATTTTAAAGATACCTTTTTCTTGAACGAAAGAAAATAACCATATTAAATAAAACCTAAAAATCATTCACTGGTAAAGCTTATTCACTCAATTATTTCGCTTTCCCGTCTAATAACAATAACAACAGTAATAACTATCTCTTAAACGGTCAGAGTATTTTTTAATGGTAACACAAATTATCAATTTAGCAAAGTAAACACAGTCAATCGACCAACTTTTAAAGAAGATTTTACAAAAACCACAAGGACAACAACTGGATTTTTATTTATAGAAAAAATTTTTTATATCAGAAAAATTTTATCGGCTATCAATAGCCGATTAACCGTTTAAGGGATAATAAATGGAAATTTATATCAATAAGTGGGGACGCTCTAGGAAAATCGGGTTTCGAGACTTTTTGATCAAAAAAAAATTTTTTTACATAATATTAAACTATAACATCATAATTGGTGAAAAAATTAGATGCTGTTTACTTGGTACAAAATAAATTCTTGAGGCAACCAAAATTTTTTTTGAATCGAATTTAATAAATTTAATAGTCACGGAAACCCCATAAAGTGTTACTAATTCATGATTTTTATTATAATTTTAACCTTTCTATAAATTTTAAATTTGGAAAATGGATACATGCCTTATTATTATTATTACACGGAAATCGTAGTTATCTGCAATCGCCAAATCGATTTCTAAATAAGGATAACATGCACCCAACCCACCAATAAAATTGGATATTCTCATGATGCTGCGCAAAATTGCGGAAAAATACGATTATAATCGTTTTCACAAAAAAAAGAATTTTTTTTATACTATATACGAATCGATCATTCAAATTTATTTTATTGCAAATTATTTTGCTCGCGACCAATAATAATTACAAATCAATAAATACAAATATTAAATATATATTTCAAAATTTATTTTATTATTAAAAATTATACATATTATTATTATTATTAAAAATTATACATATTTCAAAATTTATTTTATTATTAAAAGTATACATATTTCAAAATTTAAAAATTATAATTTGTGTTCTCGGGATTATGAAAATATTATAAAAACTTACCAAAGGGTGGCCCGCCTGCCAGCTAACAATGGCAATTCTTTTCGATAAACTGGAAGAATTGCCAAGAAACCAGTAAAAAAAAGAAAACGATATTCGAACAAAACTTGGAACAAGAAAGGGAAAATTTAAAAATTTATAAAAATTAATGTTAACCGGGGATCAAATCCGGGGATCAAAAAGATCAGAAGTGGGGATTAAAAGGAATTCAAAAGGGTATCGGTCCACAGTTCTACTCTTACTGAGAGAAAAGAGAACTGACAAGAGAAAGCAGGAAAGGATCAACCCTGTCCGAGAGGATCGAAATAACTACAAAAAAAAATTTTTTTATAAAGAAACGATGAAAAATGTAAACAATATAAACAATATAACAATAAAAAAATGCAAAAAAAACTTAGCGAATTTCCAAGAAAGCCTTTCGACTAAAGAAATAAGCAAGTACATAAAATTATTATTAATAAAATAATAAAAAATAAAGAAATGACAACAAAATAATAAATAAATAATAAAATAATCCCGAGAACATTTCAAAATTAAAGGAAAGAGGGAGGAAATTGACAGCGAAATTTTATGAGAAAAATAATAATAATAATAATAACAATCTTCCAATAAAAGGGGACTATATATATATGTACGGAATATACTGATCGACAGAAATTATTAATTAATTTTTTTTTTTTAATATATGCATGTCAGCCAGAACTAATTTGTTAAGATGATGCTTTGATAAAACAAAATACACACGATAAACCGGTATTTTTTTATTATCTACTCGTTATTATGGGAACCAATCAGATTTTACATGGTGCGAACTTTGATTAAAACTTTCAAAGGGCGTTTTTAACAAGGGTCAAAATTTGGTTTTAACTTTTTTATCCATAGAAGTTCCATTTTCATCAATCACTTTTTTCACTTGAAGATAAGTTCTTTTTTGTAAAAAAAGATTAACATTTTTGCATGGGCGGTCCCAAAAGAGAGAATATGCGATTGGATGATATTGATCAGAGAAATAAGAAGTGTTACTTAGATTGCATAAAAAAAAATTTTATCTTACATCAGTATTTAGTGTTAAATTGGTTAACGTGATTACGTTATTGTGGGAACCAATCAGATTTTACATGTGTGAACTTTGATCATTAAAACTTGCAAGGACGTTTTTAACAAAGGGCAAAATTTAGTTTTTGCATAATAGAAAATTCTTCTGCTGCTTTCACTTCTTTTTTGTAAAATAGGATTACCATTTTTGCATGGGCGTCCCAAATGAGCGCAACATTCGATTGGATGATATTGATCAGAGAATGAGAGGCGTTACTTAGATTGCATAAAAAAAAAAAATTTAGTATTTAGGGTTAAATTGGTTAACGTGACTGTTATTGTGGAAACCAATCAGATTTTACATGGTGCGAGCTTTGACCATTAAAGCTTGCAAGGACGTTTTTAACAAGGGTCAAATTTAGTTTTTGCATAATAGAAAATTTTCACTTGAAGATAAGTTCTTTTTTGTAAAAAAGGATTATCATTTTTGCATGGGCGGTCCCAAATGAAAGAAAAATTCGATTGGATGATGATATTGATCAGAGAAATAAGAGGTGTTACTTAGATTACATCAGTATTTAGTGTTAAATTGGTTAACGTGATTGAGTTATTGTGGGAACCAATCAGATTTTACATGGTGCGAACTTTGATCATTAAAACTTGCAAGGGCATTTTTAACAAAGGGCAAAATTTAGTTTTTGCATAATAGAAAATTCTTCCGTTGCTTTCACTTCTTTTTTGTAAAAAATGATTACCATTTTTGCATGGGCGGTCCCAAATGAGAGAAAAATTCGATTGGATGACATTGATCAGAGAAATAAGAGGTGTTATTTAGATTGCATAAAAAAATTTTTTATCATACATCAGTATTTAGTGTTAAATTGGTTAACGTGATTACGTCATTGTGGGAACCAAACAGATTTTACATGGTGCGAGCTTTGACCATTAAAACTTACAAGGGCGTTTTTAACAAGGGGCAAAATTTATTTTTTTGCATAATAGAAAATTCTTTCGCTGCTTTCACTTGAAAATAAGTTTTTTTTTTGTAAAAAGGATTACCATTTTTGCATGGGCGGTCCCAAATGAGAGAAACATTCGATTGGATGATATTGATCAGAGAATAAGAGGTGTTACTTTGACTGCATATATCAAATATTAGTCAGTATTTAGTGTAAAATTGGATAGCGTGATTACGTTGTTATGAGGATAAATCAGATTTTACGTGGTGCGGGCTTTGACCATTAAAACTTGCAAGGGCGTTTTTAACAAGGGTCAAAATTTAGTTTTGGTGCAATAGAAACTCTATATACTTCAGCTGCTTCAACTTTTTTATCCATTAAAATTCCATTTCATCAATCAATTTCTTTTCCTCTTCTTTACTGAAGATAAGTTCTTTTTTGTAAAAAAGGATTAAGATTTTTGCATGGACAGTTCTAAAAGAGAGAATATGCATTTGGGTGATATTGATCAGAGAAATAAGAGGTGTTACTTAGACTATAATTTATCATATATCAGTCAGTATTGAGTGTTAAATTGATAACGTGAATATATTGTTGTGGGAACCAATCAGATTTTACGTAGTGCGGGCTTTGACCATTAAAATTTGCAAAGAGCGTTTTTAATAAGGACCCTAAATTTGGTTTTTATAATAGAAAACTCTACCTCAGCTACTTCAACTTTTTTATCCATTAAAGTTTCTCTTTTCTTTACTTGAAGATAACATCAGGATCTTAAAAATCAAATTTACATAACGTTGATTTGCGCCTATCAGCTATATTCTATTGTACTATTTTTAGATTGGGTTGTACAACTTTAAATATCGATTAATATCACATCACGTTGTTAAACCGAAATTAGTTTTACAACGCAAATTATAGTACAGTGCGGATCATCTATACTCTAAAGTTAAAATTTTTGAAATATTATGTGACCCACACATTGGATTTTAAAAAACCACCGCCATTCAATTCAGCTTTAAAAAGGGAGTCTATTAATTTAAAAAGAAAATTTGTCTCAAATTTTCTTTTTCATAGATTTTTTAAATTTGAAAGTTATGCAACAATAATTTTCGTGTTACAATACAGTAAAACGAATCACCTGGACCGAGCGTTCACTATAAAGAATTATCGATCATCTCATTTATGGTCACGTGAACATATTATGAGTAATTTATTGGCTACGAGTCATTAAGTTTCGCATTCACTCATAAAAGACAAACAATCCTTTTTGAAAATAATATAGAAAAATTAAATTTTATTCATATAATTATCAGTTTTTTAATTGTTCTTTAGGATTAAATATATTTTCGACTAATCTCAATCAATTGTGACTTGCCTGTTTGTTGTTCAAAGTATAATTTTGATTTTTTCTATCGTTAACAAAGCATTTTTATGTAATACAGGTGAAGTAAAAAGAATTATTTCAGGTATATTATTTCATTTTATTTGACAAAAGTGATGTGTATGTGTAAATAATCAATTAGCAAACATATAATTTGTTGGCCAGTCTTGACTCTGTCAATAATAACAACAATAACAAATAATAATAGTAAAAAGAAGAAGAATAAATTTTTTAAAAATTTTTTTCAATAATAAATAAGTTTATGTTTCACGGGTTCGTTATAGAGAGCATTATTTATTATATAAATTTGTATTTGGTTCTCCCAAAGACAGTTCGTTATACGGAATAGAGAATTTAACTATAAAGTTCGTTATATAGAGCAAACTTCATTAATAAAAAATCGGGACCAAAATCTTAGTTCGTTATAGAGAGCAGTTCGCTTCTCGGAGGTTCGTTATAGGGTATTTTGAATCTCACGACCAAATTTGGTAATGATTTTCTTTTAATGTTGAACTTTTTTGTTGTAAAGAACTTTTATTTATTAATAAAAAAAAGTCAAATGAATCAAATGTATGTTGTAGAAAATATTCAATGAAAAAAAAAGTTGTTGCACGAAATTTATTTAGTATCAATTTCTTAAGTGTATAACAAAATTCGGAATTTTCAAAATGCTAAGGCTCGGCCAATTTTCAATTTAAGAAAAACCAGCCGATAAGATTTGAAGCTTGAGTCATGAACAATAAAACTTATCGGTTAAATTTTTTAAAATGATATAATTTTTTTTTTGTTTTAGTATTTTGAAGTTGACCAATTGTTACTATAAGCAATTAATGATTATAGATGATCTGCACCGTATCGTTGACCAATTAAGAATTTTTAAATTTTTATGTCGCATAATTATGCTTAATCACGTGAGAGACGGTCATACAAAAATTCAAAAAAAAAATTATATCGCCACAAAATTATATTAATGATCGGCAAAATTTTGCAGTTGTCTCACGGAGCACGAATTAAAATAATAATAAATAAATTTTCCATTTGAACAAATATTAGAGTTTCTATTCGTAATGCAAATCCTTATTCGAATTTTTCGCTTCTTCGAATATTTGTTTTATTTGATTATTCGAATTCGAATTCGAATTATTCGTTTTATTCGTTTATTCGATTCGAATCACACAGCGAGTCTCTATTTAGCGGATTTAGGGGGTTTAACGATAAAGTTTCAGACTAAATTTTCTTATAATAATAATTATTTTATCTTGATATTGATTTAACGGATTTAATTGATTTTCAATTTACCTTAAAATCCATACATGTCGTTTGATATAACGGATAAAGACGATCCTTGCTATCTTTTGGCTATTATAAGATAATTGCAGTAATGTATTATTATTATTACATACAATGTATGATAACACGTTATTGTATAGTTAATTAGCGTAAATAAGATGTGTGTAAAACAGGGTTGGCAAATTGACTATATAGTACATTGACTTTGGACTGGTCCATTGCCATTAATAATTTAACTAAATATGGCTAAAATGTTAAATAATGGAACCAATGGATCCAATGAATCACCATGTGCCCGATCCATATCAAATGTTTTTATATAGTAAAATCGTGCAACTTCAACCACTGAGGCTTTTTTTTTGTGTCTTTAGATGACTGCACCATATAACTAGAAAAGTAAGGATCATGATCCATTACATAAATATTTATAACAAATATTACAACATTGCGGTTAGTTGCAACACCGTAATACCGTAATTTTACATTACGGGTGCTAACTTTATGAATTACTCATGGTGTCATTCACTTTTTTAAAGCTTCATATGATATGTATGTTCAAATAATCTTCAAATGCGCGCTGAAAATAGTCAAATAGAAGCTTCTTTTCAACAAATCTCTAACAAATTAAATCATGGGTATCTAGATTTAATCAACGTCACAAAAAAACAACAACACTCTATTCACAACACAATTTCTTGTTCAATCTTAAACTAATGATTCGAATAAAAATTTGGTTTGTTTCATTTGTTTGTTCAACTCGCTCTTTCAGATCTGCTTAAGCAGTTAACCCATATTTCAATTATTACATTGAACCTCTGGACACCATATACAAGGACTACGAAGGAAAAATAGATTGATATATTATTTATTCGAATTATTAGTTTTATTCGAATAAACTTTCAATGTAATTTGAATACTCCAACCCACAACGAATAAAACAAATAATTCGAATCAACCTTATTGGAATAAAAACCCTACTATTACACACAGTCTAAGCTCTCTATGCCGAACCCCCCTGTCCATAGATGTAATTTTTCTGCTTTTGTTCATTATATAGAGAAATTAATTAATAAAAATTGTATCGGAAGTTCGTTATAGAGGTTTGGTATAGAGAGCTTAGACTGTACAGTAGAAAAATTTTTTGATCGATATTTTTTGAAGATTTTCGATAAATTTTTCCTAAACCAGACACCTGGTAGTAAGAGTAAGTAATAATCTGCTGGTTACTCACACATAGATTAAGTTTTTTTATGCATAAAGTTAAAAAGTTAAAAAACATTCATTAAAAATGTCGAAAGATAAAAGCAAAAATTTTTTAAAAAAAGACATCACAATTACTATTTCGCCATTAGCAATATTAGCAGTTATAATGTCAATACTGATATATAATTATAATAATAATGATTTTTATAAAAATCAAGAAGAAATTTGTGATATTTCTACTGTAGGTGGAGGTAACAAGTATCAATGGATTTCTACTCGTGAAAATGATAAAAGAAAAGATTACACACATTTAGATAATGGCGCATTTGTATACAAACATATTTATTTGGATGAATTTGAACAAGAATTTAATATTCAACCTTTATATTATACGGTTAATTAATTTTTATTATCATTATCAGTTATTATTAAAATCAATGAGTTATTTATATCTAATGAATTATTTCTTGATTATTATTAATAATAAAGGTTGTGGATCCATTAGTTGAAGAACTTTTGGATAAACAAAATCTTTCAGCTCGTCTAAATAATGTTACAGATATTGATCGCAATTTTATTGCTGAAAGATTTATGAAAAGTAAAGAATATTCACCATATCTTAAAGATCTCAAGGAAAAGGTCGAACGAGGTGATAGAAATATCGATGATGGAAGAGTTTATATACGTTGGGTTAATGATCATGTTAGATATGGGATGTTTGCTGGCAAAGACTTTGAAAAAAATGACATTATTGGACTTTACACTGGTAAGTTATTATATATGATTGAATCACCATTAGATGAGCGGAGTTGTGGGCGAGTGTATCAATGAATTAATATATTTTAATAAATTAGGATATATTACCAAGAACATTAGTGATTATGAATATGGTAAGTTTTCAAGTATGATGATGAGCTGAATAATTATGTGTCAAAGTATTAAAACATTTTAAATTGCATAAAATCATATGATAGCTTGGGAATATAATTATATTGTTAATGTACTGGATGAAAATAATGCAAAAGTTGGAGTTTGTATTGATGCAAAATACCGAGGGAATTATATGAGATTTGCAAATCATCGTGACAGTAAGTAAATCATGATCATAATCATATTCTCTTGTTCATCTTTCTACATTTTCCAACATATTATATTTTCATTGATATTTAGATAACCCAAATGGGGATCAATTCTATACTATTTATGATGATAAATGGCATGTTCTTTATATTGCTCAAACAAGTATTAAAGTACGATCTTTTCTAATTATTTAATTACCATTATTATTGATTATCTCTAATAACTTTGTTAATTATTAAAGGCTCATGAACAAATACTTGTTAATTATGGTAAAGCTTATTGGAAGGATAAGAATAAATATGATTTATAATAATGTATATGTATATATATATAATTCCTCTTACCTTACTCTTTCTTCCACCTTCTCTTTCATCACGGCTTTTTTTTAATAATTTTTTGAACCTTGGATTCTTGTCCAGAATCTTTAATCACATACAACACCATAATAATAAAACAATTGGTATACACCAAAATTTTTCTTCAATTCTTATTAAATTTTCATTATCATAGTCGTTAACATTATAATCATTTTCTTCTTTTTTATTCTGACTACTCTGGTTCTGACTATTGCTGACAGATAATAGAATTGGTATGATTGATAAAAAAAGTGATGAATAAATTTTATAAATTATATTATTATCTTTAGTTGATTCCTGCAACAATAATAGATATATTATTGAATGGTTGGAGCTGTTGAGAGTAGAGTTGATATTTTCGGATATAGAATATTGGGATAGGTTTTTTCTGATGTTGGTAATTGAATTACTAATAATCGAGAAGTTGGTTTGATGATATTGTTAGTGTGATGTCAAATAATATTGATAGATCAATGATATTAGTGATATAAATCTCTTCTGAACTTACAGAATTGTTACTAACAGAGCAAAGAATATCACTTCTACATGTAATTAATTATCAATGTTATTTACAACAAATCGGCCAAAAAGTAATACTTTTCTCAAACTAATGATGATGGCCGAACGAATCCGAAATAGTTTCGCCCACAGAAGTACAAAACTTAATAAATTGCAAGTGAAACTTGTTAACGAAGTGCCGTCCAATCGTATGTCGGACATGTGACCTAGTCCCTCGTTTTAATCATATTTTTATTATTATTATTTATTTTTTTATTTCTTATACAGTCATAATTCGTTAAACCGAAGTCAATTTTTTCACAATAACAAAAAAATTCCCGGTTTAAAAAACCTTAATAAAATCGGCTTATAGAGTAATAGGTAGATAATAGAAAAACGTCAGTTTATCGTGTATATTCGTTTTATCAAAGCATCGTCTTAACAAATTTTGACTGTATACAGTCAAACCTTGTCAACGCGACATGTAAGAAGTTTTATTTTATATGTTTTTATATCAGGAATGTAAAGTAGAAGCAAAAATTTTAAAAAGCCCATTATATGACAATAAGAAATTAATTATAGTCTGCTGTGACAATTTTTGGCTGTACTGTATATATTTATTAATATAAAGTCATTCTTTGACCAAGTGAATTTTTTTTATCAATCAAATTTTAATTAATTAATTAATTAATCTCAAAGTTTTGCTTGAGAGTAGAAGCAGAAAAGTTAATATAACAAATAATTCCTTTGCAAATAATTCGTTTTGTATTATAATAATCACTTTCGAGTATGTAATTAAATTTCGCCAGAAAGTTTTCACGGGCGAAATTAAGTTTAAACCAAAATTGCCTAATGCCCAAATTATGGGTTAGTTTCGGCTACACACAAAAGATATGCGGAATCAAGAAAAATAAAACAAAGGAGTATGTAAACGAGTAATAGATTAGATAGTAATAATAAGTAATTGCAGTAGTAATAATAGTAATTGTAGTAAAACCTTGTTCAACAGCTTATTCAAGTAGTGAATTGTTATTTCACTTGATTGTTTTTTCATTTTCTTTACATCTCTGTATTTTTGAATAATTTGCCTCAAACGGTAGGTAGATCAAGGATTAAAAAATTTGCTTACGTAAGATTCAAAATTTGGCGCCAAAGTATTTAGATTTTACCTAAATATAATTTATAAAATTCTACAAAAAAAAAAAAAAAAATGGAAGAAAGGAAAGTATTAATGATAATTAATAAATTAAGATTTTAATAATAATAACGGTTTTATTTTATTATTACTATTATGCATAATTAGAACTTATAATATTCTTGTGGCAGCTGAAGCATCAACCATTTCATTTAATGCAATCAATTATGCATTTGATCTATGTTCACAGTTATCTAAACCATATTCATTGAAAATAATATATATTATTGCATTGAATCCTGAAACGCATGTACCATTCTTGTAAGTTTTAAAATCAATATTAATTATTAATATTGATTACTATTAATAATGTTATTTATTATAGATGTAATTTGGACAAAGCAAACAATATTGACATTCTTTCAGATGCAAAAGAAACAATAAATAAATTAAAAGACTATTTAAAAATTTTTGATAAAACCATGGTAAGCCATTATATTATATATTGTTTAGATGCTTTATAATATATTTTATATGCATTATTTATCTGATTTATTATTATTAGCCAAAAGTGAAATATGAATTTATTGAATATGAAGAACATGGAACTGTAGGAGAAATTATAAAAGAATATATTAACAAGAAAGAACCAAATTTAGACGCTTTAATTATTGGATCAAGAAATCTTGATGGGTTCAAAAAGGTTTTTTGTTTGTTTGTCAGTTTGATTAAATATTTTCAAAATAATCTTGATTCTAATTTCTTCAATTTTTTAGATTGTTTTGAGTTCTACTAGTGATTATTTAGTAAAAAATATTAAATGTCCAGTAACAATTGTTAAATCTTAAAGATAATAATTGTATCAATCAATAAAAAATAACAATATTATCCAGGTTGAGTTAAATATTGATAGATTTATTGGATTGTTTTCTAATTTAAATGATAATGATAATAAATTGGAAAATGATAATGAAAATAATAGTGCTGAAAAGAAACAAATTTTAATCAGGAATTTACCTGGTAAATAACATTAAATGTATAATCCTTTCACTTCTGAAGTTCAAAAATTTATCATTAAAAAATGTTTAAAAGATTGATATTGTATTTGGGAACCTACATAAAAAATTTTTAATAAAGATTATGATGATGATAAGAATGAGGAAAACACCAACATCCTCATCAAAATTCTTAAAAGTCAATAACAAATACAATGGCTACTCCTTACTAAGCCGGTTTCAATATCGTCATAACATTCATTTTTGATAATTTATGTTGAATAATTTTACTTTATCTTTAATCTTCAGAATTCGTGACCACTCAACATTTGTCTAATTTTGTCAAGTAAATTATTATTGCTCTGCCAGTTACAACAAATGTTAATATGTTATTTTTACCAGATCAATAATTGCCTACCCAATAAATGAGATCATATCATCTATGGAAAAAGACTTACCGAACTCTTATGTTTTTTTATTCAAATGATTCATATCCAATATCCAAATTTCCTCCGGACTCTTAAATGGCAAAAGGCCTTTTAATCTGTAAGTAACACCATAATGATTACTTAGAAAATCAATTAAAGGATGAAATCAAAGAAACCTACTGTATCATTTGCTTTTTTATCTATAGTCGACATTTCTACTGTTACATCTGCTATATCTGCATCTATTACCTCGTCAACATTGTCCTTGTCATTGGAAGATTTCTATTAAATTGTTTGAAAAAATTTTTTTAATAATTTAGTATGATCAATTCAAAGTCTTAAAGTTAGCGCCTACTGACTAATATTAAAATCATTCTAATATTGAACCTCAACTGTCATTAAACTCCTGACTCGTTTCGATCGTAAAAAATTTTCATCGCCTACAATTGATTGATATCTCTCTTTACAGCACTTACCATCATAGTTTTTTTGAATTAAGGTGAATTGGTTTTTATCCTCTTTAATTATTTGAAATATTAACAAATAAAAAAGAAATTCTAGACAATTAAATAAAAAGGCTTATAAAAAATTTTTTCAATAGGTCTCATGCTTCCCAAAAAATTGTGTTTAACAACGCTTTTACACTAAAATGCTTTTTTGAAAACATATATAATTTTTGTTGTGCCAACCCAATTCTGATTTTGTCTATTTTTTAAAAAAATAACAATAAAATTCACAAGAAAACAAGTTATTCATTGATATGTATAATATACTATATATTAAGATTTATTATTTTCTACATCAACAAAATTTAAGATTTGTATTTTTCTCAATATAATTCAAATAATCCTGCTGTGTCCTTTCTAGCTTCCTAACATCTCATCATGCTTCAATATATATATATATATATATTATATATGTACAATTACCTTAATTCAATAATTCATTTGCTTCATTGAAATTCCGGTTCTTGTTTTTATATCGTGCAGTAATAGTAATAGCCTCATTCTTTTTCGTAGATATCGACGATTTATTCGGTAAATAGCATTTAGATGATCAAACACTTTTTCTGGATCACTGTATATATATATAATTGAATTTTTCTTAAACCTGTACTGTTCCCTTTGACCCATTTAACCATTTTCTGCTTTAGAGCCTTTTTTTTTTTGCGTCTTTATTTTGGTGAAAATCAACTAATTCACATCTATCTATCCATATATTACAGAAAAACGAATTGTTCAAATTATTACATAAACCTAATGAATTTACATGTATATTGGTATATCTATCACAAAGAAACAGCAGGTTTTTGTAATAATAATAATAATATAGTTTATAAAGTCGCGGGAACATCTAATGGTGATAAATACACACGATATGTCTCCAAGAACACAAACTGGAAAATCGAAATAAAAAAATCTAATATTTCAAAAGAAGTGATCATATTATAAAGCAAAGAATTAACTTTTTTTTTCAAACTTTAACTGAATTTAAATATTGTAGCTGATTTTTATTAATTTTTGGGAAAAGATTTTTTTTTAAGTTTTTACTACTCGGCCTTGGATTGTTGTGAGCAAGATTTGTTGTGTGTGTTATTATTTCTTGAGCTTCTTTTGAATCTTTTGCATTTTGAAATCTTTTATTTGGGTTTTAATCATTCATTACCTAGAGTGTGTGCCATTAGAGGCAAATTTTCATATAGAGTTCTAGTCAAAAAACCAAAATTCTGTAGAAGCTTTAAAAGAAAAGGTTGCATAAATTTGCCTGTCGTATTCGATTTCTTACTTTCTAAGGAGATGGAACTTATTAGTTATCATGCTCAAAATAAATACTTTTTTAAGATTCGGTTTATAAACCGTCAGTTTGGCTAATGAACCGTGATCTGAACCGAGGTTTATAATTTTGTAATAATAGTAGTTAATTTATTTAATTGATTATCTTTTATTAAAAACTTTTATATATCGGGTTACAAGAAAACAGAAATATATGCATATAAATTTTCACAATTATAGTTGGTTGATTAATAAAACAATCAGCTTTGAAACATTAAATTTTACATGTCAAAACCTAAGCTACACATGGTATAAATTTTTTTTAACAAGTAATTAACAAGTAGAAAGGTGATTAACTAGAGCCAGACTAGCCAATGATTGATGTGAAAATATCTGGCTGCCTGTTTTCATTTGCTGAGGACTACACAGTAAATCTCGGTTTAACGGATAGTTTGGGCAATTAGGGAAAATCTCACAAAAATATGTTAAGCCGAATATCCGCTATATTTAAGGTTTATTATTATTATGGAGAACTTTATCCGTAAAACCGAGATTTTTAATTAGTATCCATTAAATCGAGGTCCATTAAATCGAGATTCACTGTGTACCAAGTTTTCATCAATATTTTCACGTATATCCATCATATCGCATTTTGAACAAAACTTTAGAAGACCTAAACTCGGGGATCTTTATAACCACAAGACGACCAAGATGTTCTCGGGCGACGAAGCTCCTTAAAAAGAATTCCACATACACATTCCTGTTTTCCTTTCATACAAGGTTGGACGTTACATTGCCAAATGCAACAATAATTTTTTTGTTGTATCATGACGCAAGTCTTTTCATTTTTGAGTTGGTGGTGAATGTGATGGTAGTTGCATCGGCTGTAATGATTGCATTGAAGATAAGTACGGTTGTATTAGTTTGTTGGTTATGATGAAGGTGGTGATTGTGACATAGAAGGTTTATCATAATCATATTTTTGCTTTTACTGTGAACTGCCTACCTATTTCTGAGATTGCTCTTTGTCATTTATTTATGATAAACTGAATCGTAATTTTTTCCATCTTCCGTTATAAAAAATTGGTCAAAATGGTATATAATCATCAGATAATTGAATGTTGGTGACATCATATTGTTCTCAGCATTTAGCACTGCAAAATTTAGTGTGGTGGCAAAACTTACGATTTTTTTTTGTTAATATTTTTCGTGCAACAAATATTGATATTAGTTTCAAACGACAAATGTTATTAATAATCATTATGCAGTATGGTGATAGCTAGTGTGAAGCGGGGAAAGGAACACCATTACTTTACTACATGTAAAGGGGCCTAGGATCCCGGCTTATTCCTCCCTCTTTGTTCTTGCCCCATGCTTCTATCCATTGTTATTTTGGCCGGCCAATTAACTAATTCTCGATTATATGTTAAAATATATATATATTAATAAATTGTAATCTTCACATAAAAAATACACGTTTGGCATATATGTATCTTATATTTTATTTGAAACAATAAATACCCCTTTTCGAGTTCCTCTTTAATACTGTTTTGGTCAATAACCTTTATCTTGATGAGGCGTGAATGTGTATTTGTCAGGTCAAAAAATAGTACATTTGGTTAATACAAGTTCCCATACTACTATCTCCACCTACGAAAACAGTGTTTTTTTCGGCTTCGATTTCGTCTTTTTCCACCTACGAAATATGCAGAGCATATTTTTTCGGTTTCCACCAGTAATCCACCTACGAAACATGTTTGCACATGTTTTTTCGGCTTCTCCACCTACGAAACATGCGTTACGCATATTTTATCGGTTTCCTGGCAACCGCCCCGATCCCCAAAAGAATACAAAAAATTAAGAGTTTCATTGATCGACTTATAGTCAATTCATAATGTATAACTTAATATCTAACCACAGACAAATGTTTAATATGTATATCTTATAACGCATATGCATTTTTTTATTCATACTGTGAAGGCATAAAAGTAAATCATCATGTTTTTATAATGCTATCGGAATTTAATATGTAAAATACATAGAAATATGTCAATGTCTATAAAATTTAGATGCAAAAACATTCTTATTCCATAAGACTGATATAGAAATTTATATTGCCAACATCCCCACCACGTTAATATACCATATAGAAAAAAAACTTAAATTGTTCCAATCTTGTTCTTTAAATTCTGTTAGACATAAAAATGTGCAATCAGTTAAACTGTTGTATATCATACCGAGCATTCAATATATGTTTGAAATATTTACCATATTAAAGCGGATATTCATTAAAGAATAAACTTTTGAATTTTCCCACTTTCATCTTTTGAGGTAACTAAAGCTTGCCAAATGCTTCGTTTTTATCTACCACAAGTCGCACAATTTGATTTAAATGTTCTTTATTTTCTGGCTCAAGTTTACTATGTTTAGAGCGAAATCAATTAACTCTCCGAGTTCTTCATCAGTCATGTGCCTCTTTCTCTCTTGGATTTCATCCTCATTGTTTTCGTGTCTTCTCTTCATTGGTAAAACATATTGTTCCGTGAGTTCAGAACTCAGATTCTGTTTTATCACCAACAACGACTCAAATGCATCCTCGTCACCTATTATATTTCAATAAATAACACATAAATATTTAAAATACTGTATAAATGATATCTATATTAAAACTTACCAAGACAATCGACCAACTCTAATGCTAAGGTTGAGAGCCTTTGTAATTTTTCATCGTTCCATTTTCCTTTGGATTTTGTTATACCATGCACATGGTGGTTCCTCGCCTCAATTTTAAAAGATTGAAGAACATCTAAAGGTTTTAATTTATATTCACCATAAAACAGCGTTTGGTCGGAATGCGGAATCATAAACAAGGAAATATGTTTCGTAATGAAGTTTAAAAGACACAATATGTCTGCATCCGAAAAATCAATATTTTGCAGGGGGGTTGCATTTAAGTGCAAATTCTTTTACTGTGTCAGAAGGAATGTAGTCCCGATTCTTTACAACAAATCTGAAAAGCGCTTTCTCAACATGCTCTAAAATTGGTTCCACATAAGAACCTTGTTTGGATGCCGAGAATGAAAACTTATGCGGAATTCGTGATAATAAGTTGTCCTCCTTCTCTTCTTTTACTTTCTGTCCATTTAGTGGATTTATTTCCTGAGCTTCTTTAATGTCTGTAGAAACTTCATGTTCACTCGTGATATTGTTTGAATTTTGCATTTGTGTGGAACCTGCTCCATAAGAGATATTGTACTGAACAACACGAGCTTTTTTGAACATAGCTTGGTGTTCTTTATCAACAATCTTTAAATTTTTCTCCTTCTCTTTCTCAGAATTATTAACGTTAACCCACGCATTTAGAGATTCGTATTCTTCACGTACGGATTCGTCATTTTTCATCAAAGCTTGTAATGAAGACATCAAGGCCTGTCTTTTATTGCCTTTTTTTATGGGAGGTTTTAACTTAAGCAGATGTTCGATAGTCGCTTCAAATGTTTCCTTAACGTTATCCTTGAGATTTCCTTTGAGCCACTTTGATAGTTTAGTCATTGTAAAAAATATTGTGTGTAACATCGATGGTCGAACGCAATAATTCTTGGCGCGTAATTTTATACAAGATCTCAGGTGACTATTAGAAGAAATCTGATTGGTGCATCTAAAATTATCCAACTTTAATCACTAGACCCGTCACACAGGTCAAGAACGATACATTTGCCCCTTAAACGCTTAGATCATCATGTAAGGATTACTTTTTAAAAGTTAATTTAAAAATACTCTTGCAAAGATTACACAGATTGATAAAATATAAATAGATGAAAATATAATATAAATAAGTTAGTCTATTTATTATCAATCAATAATTGTTCAAATTGTTACAATTGTAATAAGTACAATAATAAACATAAAAACAATTTATATATGGATTAAAATCATATGGAACAGAATGTTCCAAATGTTCTGAATAATTGTCTGATTCATAGTTTTCTTTCATGACAATTCTATTTTTCTTAAGTTTTTCCTCTTTGCAAATGTTTGGTGATATACCAAGTTTTCTACACCTATAACATTTTGTCCTTTTCTGTAATAGCCTTTTTCTACTAGATGTTCTTTTATGCCACAATGTAGACCGAACCTGTTTGATTCATCAGGTTCTGGTTGATGATATTTTGTGAAATAGTTGGAGTTGGTCTTGAAGTTAATGAAAATTTGTTCTAATAATGTTTTTTTTGAATAAAATTTCTGAATAAATTTTTTTGAAATTCATTGTTTAAGAATTTAAAATTTATTTTAAGACAAGATTTTGTTTTTTAATAACTATTTATATCAGAATGTTATCAAGAATGGTTTAGATTATTAATGGAATCAATATTAAATTTAGTATATATTGAGGTTGTTTTTAATTTGTACAACAGAGATTGATTTCCTTTAATAGAAAATTCTCAACCTATTAAAGGAAAAAGTGGTTCCAGCTAGATGATTGTAATAATTAAATTTATCCCATAAAAAAGATTGAATTTCCCCTGTAAAAAAGAAAGTGGTTGGAATTGTATAATAGAGATTGTTGAATTTATCCTTTAAAGAAAACTGATTGCAAATGAATAGTAGTAATAATCAAGGAAATTGTAAAGCCATAATAATAAAAATCATTGTTAATGAAAACAGATTACAGCCAAACAATGAATTATATGTACTGAAAACATATATAAAAGGGTTTCAATATTTCTTTCTTTTGCTTCTTATTAAATTGTTTTCTCTCAAAAACAAAAAAATATTCAATTAGTTCCTTTTCTCAATTAAAAAAAATATTCAATTAGTTCCTTTTCTCAATTAAAAAAAATATCAATATTTTCTTTGATCAAAATCATTTTTCTTTTCCTTTAATCTTTAAAACAAAACAATACTCAATTAATTTTCTCTTTATTAAAATCATTTCTTCATCTTTTTTGATCTCTTTAAAACAAGTGAATACTCAATTAATTTTTTTCTTTATTAAAATCATTGTCCTTTTCCTTTTAAAACAAGAAAATATTCAATTAAAATTTTTTTTTAATTAAAATCATTTATTTTTAAAATGAATTCCAACAAAAAAATTGGTTCTGCTTCTCTTTCAATCAAAATCTCTGATAATGAAATGATTTTTACTGATGACTAGTAAGTTGTTTAAATCTAATCTTTTGATTATTATAATTTAATAACAAACATTCTATTTTTTTACTAGATTTGAAAATTATTATGAAAATGCCCATGGCTATTTAAATATAACTGCTGGAGAAGATTTAATTAATAACAAAAACACAAATATTTTCTAATATTGTTGATCAATTTATGTTTGTATTAAATAAAAATGAAATGTGAATTAAAGAAATTATTAAACTAGATTTCTGTCTCCCTCCTTCTCAATGCATAAATTATTCAATAAAAGAATTTAAAAAAATACCAGGTTTTAGAAAAAATGCTGATGTAACTAATAATACATACATCAGAGTTCCTGGATTCGGAATAGCTAGCTTTCATGATCTAGATAAAATAAATAATATTAACAAATCTTGAAATTTAACTAAATGGATTGGTTCCAGCAAAATTAACCAATCAATCAAGAAAGCATTAAATGAAAGAATAATTAAAACAAAAAAATTATATCAAGGACTTGGAATCAACTTAAGCATAAAATTGTAGATTTATGCACTTTGACAAAGCAGAATTATATAAATGATTCTGTAATTGATTCAGTACTAAAAATATTTATGGCTTATAAAAACCAAACAATCAATTACAATGATTTTATTTTGCTTCCAGCACACTTTTATAGTTCTACAATGGACAATAACTTTAGATTAGCATCTAGGCTGTTAAATAATTTTCAAAGTGATGAAACTAAACAAATTTATATTATTTTACACATTAATAACAACCATTGGACAGTTGCAAAAATTGATATGGAATCAAAAAAAGTTTATTATGGTGACTCTTTAAAATCCACAGCTCCAAAAGATTTAACAAAAACATTGATCCGATTTTTTGTAATTATAAATTAATTACATTAAAAAGATTCCCCATCAAAAATGCAACTTTAGATTGTGGAATAATTGTTTTAAATTATATTGAACAAGAAATTGGTATAAGTAATCAATCATGGAGTATGCAACAATCTGATTATTTTAGAATTAGATATTTATGTGTAACTCTAAATTGCAATTCAGAAGAATTTAGTTTTCCACAAGGTATTGGAGATTCAATTAAAATCAATTTTCCATTACAATCATATTTGGATGAAGATGGCAACAATATTAAACCTGATGCAATAAAATCATATTTGTCAAAACATTTAGAATATACATGCAGCCCAAAGTATTTTGACACTGTCATAAAGGGGGTTACACATGTAGTAAAGGGGTGTTACACTTATGT